ATTAGTTTTGGGAAGCATCATGAAACTAGTAGAAGTAATGGCCACAAGAGACAGTGAAAATTTTTTTTGAAATTTCATATGAATTCCATACTTGAAACTAATATTACACTGTATACTAGCTGGAATTTAAGTAAAAACTTGCAAAGAAAAAGAGATTTCATATGATCAAGGCAGTCAATAATTAGAAGTTAAAATAACTATTACAGGGGATCCCTGGGTGGCGCAGTGGTTTGGCGCCTGCCTTTGGCCCAGGGCGCGATCCTGGAGACCCGGGATCGAATCCCACATCGGGCTCCCGGTGCATGGAGCCTGCTTCTCCCTCTGCCTGTGTCTCTGCCTCTCTCTCTCTCTCTGTGTGTGACTATCATAAATAAATAAAAATTAAAAAAAAATCTGTTTAAAAAAAATAAAAAATAAAATAACTATTACAAAGGGGAAAAGAAAAGCACTTTTCAACAGTTTTTGTATCTTCCTAAGAGTTTTTTAACACTGATCTTGTTAACAGATCAATATGGCATTTTATGTAGATAATTGTCTAGTAACTGAAGTAAATTTTAGTAAAGTTGGTACATCAAAAGATACTTTAGGGTAACTACTAAGGACAAATCCAGTGTTAAAGATATTCTTTAAATTCTGCAAGTTGTTTCACATGAACTAAATTTTCCATGTACCAAGTAGTCCCACAGAATGACACAATGAGATGACAGGATGGAGTTAAAAGCCTACGACTATCTTCCATAGAAGGGACAGAACAGTGACTGGAGAGGAGGCTAAGTAGGTGCAGATGGGTTTGCAGACTTTAAGGCAGAAGGGTGAACAAGTTTTTTTCTCATAGCTTCTATTTCCTCAGTGATGTAGGAGGTGAGATTATTTACCCAGAATGAAAGAATTGCAAAGGGGGATGGGTTAGGGATTTAAGAACAGTTTGACAGTTTGACAGAGTAAAAGGAGCTGACCACTAGGGAAATAGAGCACAGAAGAGTGAGGCAGGGATTGGATGTGAGGTTTCCAGATGACCAGTTCGATGTTCCTTTTAATAAACCACATTGAACAGCAATGTAATGGGACAGATGCTAGCTACACTTGTGGTAAATATAGCATAATATTATAAACTTGCCAAATCAAAGTTGTACACCTGCAACTAATGTAACATTGTGTCAATTATATTCAAATTAAAAAATAAATAAACCACACTGAAAGAATGCCTCCTGGGGAAAGTTTTTTTGCATGCATGGACAGCAGGTAGTGTTAACTGAAACAAAAGGATGATCTGAGGAAGTAATATCAAAATTAGAAAATTTTGAATTAAAAAAAATCTTGAATTTTGTGTAAAACAATGTAGAATCACTTTAAGTCCCAAGAGTAAGGATACATTTTTAAGGATCTTGAGGTTTGGAAAATGCAGAAATATGTACACACAGAAAGGAAATATCACCTACTTTTACTTATTTAAAAAGCTTCGTTAGACTTCATTTGAATGTTTATCATTGCTCTTGTACATACATAAAAAGGAAAATATAAGTAAATATTATACAAGTAATATAAGTAAATAAAATACATTGGTTTTTCCATACGATTCATCCTTTTCACCAGTGAAAGCATTGGCAACAGGTATTTCCTGTGAATCCATAACGGAGCAAGTCATGGTGCTACTCTCCTGTACTGGCTTTGCAATTCTTTAGACAAAGCATGCTTCGGACTGCCTTTCATTATGCTGTCCAACATGTCTGATTCATCATCTTTCCCATCCCTCTCCTCAAACTTTTGATACCTTGTGTTCAAAAGAAAGCTCCACCATTGTTCTTAGGATTTTTTTTCTAAGCTAGTGTTTTTGGTATCTTGAATAAACAGGTAATGGAGGCAATTGGTTAACAAGATTGTAGGGCCCTATCCATTGTTAAATGCACAGAAATTTCAGAGATGTCAACATATGAAAAAAATAGTGCAACTTAAAAATAGGACAGTAGTTCTATATTTTAATTTAGAATATTTCCCTTTGTCATTAGTTTTCTAAAATACAATTTTAAAGGCTGCAATTCATTTCATTATATGGGTGCACCATGCTTTTAGCCTGTGGTTCTGTGAAGGGCGTGACTGGCCCTTTGGGAACATCACAACGTGTCCAGAGACATTTTGGGCTGTCATCACTGAGGAAGCCACTGGAATCTAGTGGGTAGAGGTTAGAAATGTTAAGCATCCTGAAACGTAGAAGGCGGCCCCTTATAACAAATTATCTGGCCCCAAATCCTATTAGTGCTGAGATTCAGAAGCCTACTGCTAGACTTAAAATTTTTCAGTTTTTCCCTCCTTCAGGAAACCACCAAACTAAGGGACAGCATAGTATAGTGTTTAAAGATATTGCCTGTTGAATTGGCTGGGCTCATGTTAGCCATAACAGTTACTAACTGAAGAACATTACCTAGAAGGAATTAGTAATCTAACTTCTCAATTCCCCATCTGTGAATATAGAGAAAATTAATTGAACCTGGATAGTACTATCAAGACAAATAGGTTTATAAATGTAAAGCCCATGTTTGTCATCTAAGATACACTTACTAGTGTTGCACTGGCTTCAGTTATGATTTTTTTTTTTTTTTAATGAACGTAATCACAAACTTCACTATGGAGGGGTGTAGTCTAAATAGGAAGAACTGATGGAAAAATCAGAAGCAAAGAATTTCAAGGTTTGGGGCCTATGTCACCGATTCCAAGAAGTTTCAAGTCACTGGAAGTTTGTAAAATCAATTTAGTGGGTCAAGACTAGCATTGGAACAAAGATAGACTAGAAAATATCATGGTGCATTCCAAGAACTCTTTTCATAAAATAGGGTTTCATTGATAGAAGCTTCAATGTATGCACCAGGTCACAATGTTAAAATGTATTTTGTAATGTGAGTCACAATAAAAGACCTTTGAAAGGCACCACCCTTAGTCCAACTACCACTTGGATGTTTCAGTCTAATCTATATCTGCATGAACTGATGAGCTTCTGCTTTAAGACAGTCTGGCTGTGTCTTTGTACATTTTATTAAAAAGCTCTTCAAGGTAATGAGAAACAAACTTAATGTGAAAAATGACTAAAAATATTTTGTCTCAATCTATTGCTTTAAATCTGTTGGGAAATTAAGCATGCTGGAAGTACTGTATGTGCCGTGGCATTGGAAACAGTGTTGCTCACTAGCTCATCAAGCTCATCACTAGCTTTGAAGATAAATAGCCATAAGTTTACTATCATCATTATCATGAATAATATGTGAGTACCAACAGACCAATTGAGTAAGGCAGCTTTAACGTCTATAAACAATACTAAAAACATTAACTTAATAATCATAGTGCCAGAAGTCTCTAAGTGGTGCATGAGCATGTTTTATGCATCATTGGCTATGATCTTAAAAACAAAATCCAAAACTTTTCAAAAGGAGTTAATCTTTAAAAATGATTAACTGATTCATTCTTTGAAAAAAGTCAAATTATGTTAATTGCAGTTGCTGGCTGGCTGAATATAAACTAAAAGAAAATGAGGGTAGTGACACTATGTTGAGAAATACCTAATGCATGCATAATAAAATCCCAAATCAGGCAGAGTTAACAAAATTACACTGTAAACTGTGATCTCCCCAATATCGTGATGTATTCTGGATAAGGAATTAATGTTATTTAAATTTGTTACTACAGTGATTCTTGAATGATCCCTTATACAAACCTTTAGATATTTGAGAACAGGAATTTCCCCTAATAATTTCTTAGTCAACCTTCAATATAAGTATTTTATTAATTGCTATGTGCCAAGCCCTCTAGAAAGTTCTAGGAACTTAAAAATAAAAAAAAAAAATCATAGTTTCTAAACTTGAGTTTCATAGACTTAGAGAAACTAAAATTTATAGTTGTGTAGTATGAAGCAGAGGTAGTAGGATATGTGGATCACTATATTGCCCAGAAGTTAGAAGTTGGCTGATGTCCAAGCTGTTTTTAAAAATGACTTTGAAAAAATGAGCAAAATGGGATGAACAATCCTGGATGAGGAAACTCGTAAGTGTAAAAGGCAAAAGTGCCAGGAGAAATATCAGGAGAGATTGGTTGCTACATAATGGGTTGGATGGAGTAAACAATAAAGACTAGTTGAGGCGAGTCCAAGCATAAGTTGAAGGCCTGAATAAAAGTATAAAGCATTTTTCAACAAATGTTTGTACGTACAACACTTTACCCCACATATTGGGGAAACGGTTCCTCTATTAAAAAAGGACTCACATTTCAACATGTCAGACAAATAGTAAAAGTTGTAACATAATATTCTAAAGGAACTACTGGCAATGTTAGGGAAGGACTCTCTGAGAAAGTGACACTGAAATGGAGACCTGAAGGAAAAATAAGATTTTAAAGATCTGATTTGAGATATTACAGTGTTTCTCTGTAGACTGTGCAATCCCTACATACTCCTAAAGAGAACCAGTCTCTTTTGCCCCCACTATAAATCTATTAAAAGACATAAATGTTTATTAAAATTAAAAACTAATCATGTAAAAAAACTAATCATGTAATTGAGGACAAGATTAAGTCTCTCATCTCTTCTCCCATAGAGAATATTTGCATCATTTATGTCATATTACAATTACTTGAGAATTTGGAAGAGAATCAAATGAAAGGACAGATTTAAGAGTGAAGAGGGAGCCAATGCAAAAGGGGAGTTAAAAGATTATAACAAGTACTTTAAAAAGTGCAAATAAAATGTCAGCACTGTCCATTTGACACAATAATTTGGAGGTCCTTATTAACTTGTTTACAATTTCAGTGAGAAAAGAACAGTAGGTGGACATGAGGCTGTAGATTGTGGAGTTCCTATCAAGAAGCTTGGTAGAGTAATGTTGCATGAAGGATTTTTGCTGCTTTAATTTACTAAGGAAGGGAGAGTGTAGAGGGTTTTCAATATCTTCCCTAAAAAAGAAAATGTAACTTGTTGAAACTTATTACTGTAGACCGTAAGCAGTATCAGTAACTTTTTTTTTAAAGATTTTATTTATTTATTTATTCATAGAGACAGAGACAGAGAGAGAGAGAGAGAGAGAGAGAGAGAGAGAAGCAGGCACCATACAGGGAGCCTGAGGTGGGACTCGATCCGGGGTCTCCAGGATCACGCCCTGGGATGCAGGCGGCGGCGCTAAACCGCGGCGCCACCGGGGCTGCCCAGTATCAGTAACTTGTAATAGTATTTACTCCAGATACCTGCATATATAAAACAAAGCTAAGGTTAACACATTTATACTTACCACTAAGAAACAACATTGAATGTATATAAACTCTTAACCTTTATACTCTGGAGATGTAAATCTTTAAGGTATGAACCAATTACTTTTGGTCATTACTTCCAACTTACGACTAAGATTTGAGGACCGAATTTCTTTTTCCAAAGAAAGAGGTCAGAGAGACAAAGGTCATTTAAAACATTTTATTTTTTAATAGATTACCACTTGCATAAGTCAGTGATGTTTTCACATTCTAAGCTGTATTGTATTTGTAATGATGAATGTCAGTGATAACTAAGAAGTTTAAACACCCGTATATTCTTTACAGGCCTGGCAGTGTGTTTTGCTTACCAATTTTCTGGCAATATCTCTCCTCCCCACCTATTTTCTGTGTGCTGGTTCCTATGCTGTGACTAAGAAAATCAGCAGCCTACTTCAGCCTTGTCAGTTCGTACCTCCCTACTAGGCATAAGAGCAATTTAGTCTCTTAATTTTCTCTTCTTTCTGGGTGTATAAAACTCCAGCCTAAAACAACAACAACAACAAACACTAAAGTGAAATGATTTGCCAAATACAAGATTCTCTTTGGGATATGAAGGAATGTACAATTAAAAACAAAGTGGTAAAAATAAGCCCTTCTCAAACGTAACCCAGATGCCGGATAAGTGTGTAAGGAAACTGAAAATCCCTCGTTGCTTACCAGTCGTCCAATGTCTTAAGTCAGTTTCCACCGCTGACAAATAAAACATTGCAAACTTCGCTACCTAATAGAATTTATTCTGTTCTGGTGCCTTTGAAGACGGTGATAATACTCATTTTTATGCAAACCCGACAAGAGCCCTTTGACAGCGGTAGCACCTCTAAGTCTGGACACACCAGGAACTTGAAGAGCATTACGTAATCATTCTACATCTAACTTCTGCTCACCACGTTTTAATACTCAAAGCCTCGTGGCCTCAAGTCACTGCTTGGGACTTACCGTCTTCACAAATTCGGGATTCCCCCGAAATTGCCTTCTGTCCCTTAGAGTCCTCGTGCTAACCTACTGAGAACAAACTCAGTATTTCCAGGGCTGAAAACAGGAGGCCTTGCCGCTGACACCTTCGTTCCAATCGACACAACCTTAGCTCTCCGGTCTCTGCCTTACCTGGTCTGAGACAAAGTGTGCCGCCCCACGCTCGCAGTTAGCCGAGCCACCTATGGGCTGCTCGCAGGTCCAGCGGCGGGGGTCGGGGTCGGGGTCGGGGCGTGGCGGTGGCGGTGCCGTGGCGGGCTGGCCTGGCCTGGCCTGGCCGGGCATAGACCCTGGCCCGGGAGGCGGCCCGGAGACGAGAGCTCGGAACCTCGGCGTGCCCGGCTCCTGCGCGACAGGCGGGCAGACGCAAGCTGTTTAACCTGGGGCTGGTCCCAAATTCGGCGGGGTCGGCCCAGCGCAGGCCAACTCGCTGTAGCAAGGAAGGTCAAAATCACCTTGGGGCAGCGTGCGCCCGGACGACGCTCGCCCCGCCGCAGGCCGCCCCGCGGGCTCCCTGGGTCACCAGAGGACAGCCGAGCCACAGGCCGGCCCACGGCGACTGCGGGCGGAGCCGCCCCCTTCCCGGCTGCCCGCCGACTTCCGGACCTGCGCGCGCCTCCCAGCACCGCCCGGGTCGCCCGGGCGCCCCTCCCCCCGCCCACCGTTTCCCGGCATGCTCCGCGGAGGAAGGGCCGGAGTCGACAATAACAAACCCCTCCGCGGCGGTGTCCGCGGCCCTGCCGAGCCCTCGGCGCTGCCTTCGGGTTCCCGCGTCGCTCCGGCCCCTCGGCTCTGACCGGCCGCGGCCCCCTGACTCCCGGCCCCCGACCCAGAGCCGAGGGGCCTGACAGCTTACCCCCTCTGCCCGACCCCTCCCTCCCGCCGGGAGTCTGGGGCCGTGACCGGCACCCGGGACGCCGGCGGTCGTGTCGGTTGGCGGTGCCCGATGGGCGGTTGGTAGCCGCCGCCGAGGAGAAGGCGGCGGCGGAAGATGGTGCCAGGGGCTGCCGGCTCTGCTGCTGCCACCGGCAGAGGAGGCGGCGCTGCCAGGTGAGTGCCGTCGCCGCCCGTGTCCCCTTCCCCCATCTGGCTCCGCGGCCGCTCGGCGGGTTCGGGCACCGAGGCCCGGGGGCCCCGCCGGGACCCGCCCGCCGAGCGCCGCCCGCGCGCAGGTGTGTGCGCATCCGGTCGCCGCAGGTGCCGCCCCGGCACGACGGCCCCTGAGCAGACGCGCGGCTGGAGCCGAAGCCCCCGGGGCTGCGGGCGGGGTGGGGCTGGCTCGCCCGGGGCGGGCCTACGGAGGGCTCCCCTGGCTGCGGCCCCGGGGTCCCTCCCTGTCGGCGCCCCGGGCCGGCCGCGATTCGGCTTTCGGAGCGGCGGAGGGCAAGGGAGGCTGCCTCCTCTCTCGTCGTCACTGTGGCCAGGCGTAGCCTCCAGGCCGTCTCGGACGTGAGAAACCGGAGAGTGGAATTGGGCCGAGGCCGAGCGAAGCGCGCGGCGGGGGGACCGGAGAGATGCCTTTGTCCCGACCCCGGAGTGCGATGGGTGTAAAGTTACTCCTAGCGATGACTCAGCCTCCGCCAGCCCCGCCGATCAGATTTGGGATGGGGTGTGTTTGCGGATCTCACAACTCCTTAGGAGAAGCAGAAGAAGGGGAGAAATGGCAGCTTTTGAGGGGGATAGTTTCTTCCACCGCCTGGTGGAGGTACTATGTTTATTGTTATGGTTTCGTAATCTCGTCTTTTCTTTCCATCGTGACTCTTTAAAGTGTGGTCATAGCACACACGAAGTGGTGTGTGCCAGGATTGCCAAGGAGGACTAATACGCTCTCTGTTGATAGAGTCATTCATTACTGCAAGAATTTAAGCGAGGTAACAGTGTTTGCTTCCAGTTTACTGTATGTGCATGGAGCAGTGACTTGGGCCCTGTGAAATTGTGCCTGTCGCTCCATTGTAGTAGTTTTCTAGGTTTTTGTGTTGATGCCGCTTGCATGATTTATCCAAAGAATTGGGGAGTTAGGAACTTAGGAGGAGACGACTTTTAAATAGGCAAATCTATGTTTAATCAAGAATCACATTATTATGTTTCTGTGTTTGATACAAAGAGGTCTCTCCCATTCCGAGCACCATGGGGATTTTATTTTGGAGGTTATTTGGTTTATAAGCTAGGGGTGAGAAGGTATTTTTTGCTTTTCTAACAGAAGGACAGAATGTGGCCTGAGGGAACACATTTTCTCAGTGACATTTGTCATTTTTATTTTAGTGTTCACGTTGTGTTTCAAGCCTAAATAGAGTTTTATAAAAGAAATGTTTTGTGTTGGTGTTTGTTGATAATTATCTGTTGATGAAAATTAAATGTGAACTCAGACTACTTTTTATTTTTTTATTTTTATTTTTATTTTTTTTTTTTTAAGATTTGATTTATTCGTGAGAGAGAGAGAGGCAGAGACACAGGCAGAGGGAGAAGCAGGCTCCATGCACCGGGAGCCCGATGTGGGACTCGATCCCAGGACTCCAGGATCAGGCCCTGGGCTGAAGGCAACACTAAACCGCTAAGCCACCCGGGCTGCACAGACAAATTTTTTTTTTTTTTAAGATTTGTTTGTTTGATTATAGATAGACATAGAGAGAGAGAGAGAGAGAGAGAGAGAGAGAGAGAGGCAGGGACACAGGAGGAGGGAGAAGCAGGCTCCATGCAGGGAGCCTGGTGTGGGACTCAATGCAGGGACTCCAGGATCGCGCCCTGGACCAAAAGGCAGGCGCCAAACCGCTGAGCCACCCAGGGATTCCCCCCCAGACTACTTTTTAAAAGTAATTTTATTTAGTTGATTTTGAATCTTTTCATGTCAGTCAAATCTAGGGTTAATTATTGACCTAGTTCTTTTGATGTTGGATGACAGGGTGAAGCAGTACTCATGTCTCAAAGTTTTCTGGCTCTTGCTAACAAATACAAGTTCAGAATGCGTGGCAGATTGACTTTTAGCAAATCAAATTCATAAGGTCCAAAAGGGCAGAGGACACAAGGCCTTTGTTTTTGAAAAGCCACACTTCTGAACCTAAATTTTTATTGTATTAGCCTGAGAAGAGCTTTTATTTGGCTTCTGATTTTGAGACTGTCTTTAAATCTTCATGCATTCATCAAATGTTCGAGTACCTGCTACAAGCTTTACTTTGCAGATACATGTGGCTTTTGTTTTTTAAAACAGGAATATTGGGCAGCCCCGGTGGCACAGCAGTTTAGCGCCACCTGCAGCCTGGGGTGTGATCCTGGAGACCTGGGATCGGGTCCCACTTTGGGCTCCCTGCATGGAGCCTGCTTCTCCCTCTGCCTGTGTCTCTGCCTCTCTCTCTTTCTCTCTCTGAATAAATAAATAAATAAATCTTTAAAAAAATAAATAAAACAGGAATATCTAGTAAAATGTTCTTTTTTTTTTTTGCATAACACTCTTTTCTAATCCCTATTAAGCTTTTCATTTGTAGTATAGATAATAGTGGCTCAAGAAACTCAAGTGAAAATCTGGCAGTATCTCTCTATATACATTCATTCATACAGTTAATATTGACTTACACTGTTGGAGCATTATTGCAAGTTTGCGGTATTTGCAAGTTTGAAAGAAAGTTACTAAAAGGAGATTTGGGTTTTATGGAGTGTAGGGGGATATTTTAGAGGCATGATCTGACATGAATAAGTCACATCACTTTTCCTTAAAAAGATGTCCTAGTCACCTCAACACGTGTTGGCTTGGGATTTATCATGTGCCTACTCTGTGCTAGGTACTGGTCAATAAATGCTGGGAATTTGGCAGCAAACAAGCCAAATCCCCATACTCATTGGAGAAAAATATGGAGTAAAAGATGCATGCTAGGAAGTGGAGGAAAAGCAGAAGAGAGGAGATGAGTATCAGGATTAGGGGATTGAAACTTCAGAAGTCCTCACTCATTGGTAACTTTGGAATGAAGACCCAGGAGAAGTGAGAAAGCTAGCTGTGTGACTATCTGGGGCAAAAACATTCTTAGCAGCAGGAGTAGTAAATGGGAGGGCTCTGAGATAATTGGCATATACAAGAAAAAATGGAAAGGGTACTGCAGGTGGACTAATAGCAATGAACGGGAGGGTACTCTGAGAATGGTAATAGTGAAGACTCTACAGATACTCAGGGGCCTGGGGTAATAGTAAGGAAACAGTACCATACTGTAACCATCCCGTTGCTAAAGCCACAGAGATTTGTTCCAGAAAACCCAGCAGCATGAAAGCTTTCTAGCATGAAAGGCTAGAAGGCAACTTGTACTACATTCAAGAAATGTTAAACCCCTGCAACACAGTTTTAGCTCCTGCAACATGAATGATGAACAAGAACTTTGTATGTGACCTTTGAATAAAAGATTGTAGGAAATTTTGAACCATGGGGAATTTTAAAGAAGATAAATTGCGAATGTTGGCTGCTTTGAGAGACTGGAATAGATAAAATGCTAGAGAAGCAGATTGTAGAGTGCTAGGTTGATGTTGTACTTACTGTTGTACATAAAAGTATGTAAATTTTAATTATCACATTTCTGATTTGTTTATTATTGTGGGCCTAATAAACCTAATTGCCTGTAAGAAGACCTCTGTGGCATGGTCCCTGAGAGGATGGCATTTCTTTCCATCCCTCAGTAAAGTTGAGGTCCTTTTAAATTACTTTTTCCTTATATGAGTGCTGTCATGCACCCTTTCTTTCATTGATTTGTTTCTTCTTTCATAGCTGTTTAGTGAGTACCCTCAGTATTATGAAATGACACCCCACCCTCTTTCCCACCTCCAAGATTTTGCTCTTTTGAATTCTAATATTCTATTGGCTTGTAATTATGATAAGGGATGAAAATAATTGCAATCCCTTTTCCATTTCTTTGTTACTGGTTTGGGACTATACACATTATTTTTTCCCTCATATTCTACATGTAGTTGATCAGCAGCTATCCAGAATATCTGTTAAAATATTAGTCAGATTAGTACCGTACTGTTAACATATCCATGGTTGTTTTAGCCATTGTATGCAAATTCCAGATGTGCACATCATTTTTTTTTATGTTGCTATGGTGTTTACAGATAGTCTTTGTTTAATAGAACAAAGCTAATTCAATATTTGCTATATATAATTTTGATTTCATTTTCAAACTATCATAAAATGAAGCGGAGAAATGTAACACTTTTGCTATAGACATAATCATGTCTATATTAAAGAATTTAGAAAACCTGAATTCACTTTTAAAGGGAATGTCACCACTTGGTATTGCCATCCCTTAAAAATTATACTGTGCACAGTCCTGGATGTTTTTATTTTAATTGCTGACAAGAAAACAGAAAAAATGGATGTGGCTTCCATACGTGGCATAATTTAGAGGAAGAACTGTTATCTAGTAAATTTGACTGAATTTCTTTTTTTTTTTTTTTTGACTGAATTTCATTTTAACTTTCTTTTTGGATTTCTGTTAAGCAGAAGTTATGAAATGACATAGCATATTAAAAAACATGTTTAAATACAATAATAATTACAAAGTGAATTAAGTTTTTTATGAGTGAGGCTAATTCAAAATGACATCTAGTGATACTCTGTATTGGGACTTCTGTTTTTTAGATTTACTAATATTCCAAATTCAAATTATCTGCAAGCCATGAATTTTACATAATTTTTATGAATGGCAGGACAGCAAATGTGAAATACATTTATATGTATTGATGGAAATATTCCCACATTTTATTATTCAATTCAAACAAGCTGTATAGCATATGCGTGATGTTCATCTCATTTTTATAAAACCAAACTGTTTGTATATACACATACATTTTTTTTGTATGAATAGGGGAAAAAAAAGCCCAGAAGCCATACTATTAAAAGTATTCCTGTTGTCTCTATTCTTTTGGTGCTATCTGTATATGAAGTTGCTTGTCTAGTTATAGCTTTGTTTAGGAGGCTCTGAACTTCTATGGAAAAGGTTCTCTTTGGGAGAATGTGAGGAAAATGGCTGACTTACTCTTCCCCCCCCCCCCCCCTTGGCAGAGAAAAAGGTAGGATCAGATAGAAATAATCTGATATGGAGGGTTCGAAGTCCCATTTTCAGTCCCCTGGGTAACCTAAGATTTTCCGTATGTGGTGAACATTATTTTCATTGGTGCAGCACTCAGTGACCCCTCCATGGAATCAAATTCTGCAATTTGCAGAATTACAAATCAGACAAAATTATTCCTAAGTCTTGTTCTTTCTCCATGAAACTTTTGGTCCAACGTATCTAGTTTGTCCAGATTTTGTGAATTCTACTAGACTTGAAAGCAGCTTGTGGGAAATTGTAATTCCAACACCTAGCACAGTTTCTGGCTAATGTTGGATGTTTAACAAATTGAGAGTGAGTAATGACTTAAATGTATTCAGTTTGGGACTTCAGAAATTGAAGTCTTTCCCTTTGTTTTCCCCATAAGGAAGCTAATTTAAAATTTTAAATAGTTGACAGTAAACTGGAATAGCTGATCTAATCATTATGGTGGCAGCCTCTCAAAGAGGAAATTGTAAATCTCCAGGTGATAAATTGGATAGTGTTTTATATATATATATATATATATATATATATATTATATATATATATATAAGAGATGCTTTTATATCGCCACTCGCCCCCTCACTTATAGCTGAATGTATCCCAAGAGTATCCAAGCAGGGCAAATGTCTTTTTATGATGTGAGATTTTTTTTTTTCCTCTGATAATTCCTACTACCTTATGTAGCTAGTAAGAGCTCTGTAAATTCAGAGGGAAAAGAGTGCTTGTGGGCCATCCACGGTTAGGGAAAACTTCCCAGTAGTGCTAATGAACCATGTTTTTGCACTGTACTTGGACGAGTAAAAATCAGATTAGCAGAAATTGGGGGAATTGTTTCCAGCAGGGCAATATAAAGTGAGAGAATATAAGTTTCATGTAGAAG